GCGCTGATGTCAAATGTCATTAGTTACATGATACAGGTTGCACTACTCGAACTCCTTGGCACAGATCCCGGAAACTGGCGAGTGTTGGCTATTATGCAGGACAGAGGACTTTTCACTGTTAAAGGTCAAAGAACCAACCCCAACGCTAACGAGGAACACCATAAAACAAATTCCTTTAGCCAAGCTGGGGACTTTCTCCCAGGGCTTTAAAAATGGCCAACTGAGTGCACGAAGTGCAAAGGCCCACTCCGCAGTAGCAAGAGCGAGGAGTAGCAAACACCATTCTGCCACCAGCCCATTTTCTGGAAAGATTTGATTGATCAGCCGCTACAGTTATTTCGAATAAATACTATAACTTATGACCGAACGAGTGCCCCATTTTTAGCGATTCAAAGTCTAAATTTCATTGCCAAAAGATATGAAAAAAATTCCCAATCGGATCGTAGATGAGCTTCTCACAAGAGCCGACAGCTTAGAGGACTTGCAAGTGAAAATGCTTCAGACCGAAGAGATTCTTCTACGAGCAGCTGTCATGGAAACAGCAAACGGATATATTTTGTTTTCGCTTTGATCTACCGAACACCGAAGCTACCTCCAAGAGGCAAATTATTTATATTATTGCAAGTTTGTAAGACATCTTTGGACTATTAAGTTCAATCATTATCAGGTACAAAACTTTTGTACAAGAACATTGTAGAAATAGTCTTGAGTGGAATGAGCCGCTGCCTGCTACGCTGCAAGAAAGTTGTCGACAAATACACATGTTAAACCAAATCGAAATTCCAACATTTGTCAATTTCTCGTCTAGTATGGAGTGCGAGATACACGGGTTCGCCGACGACTCAGAGCTTGCGTATGGGTAATGTATTTGTCTACGATCATCTCAGGGAAAACAAGCTGAACGGTATAAAATCAAACATAAGTTTGAGAACATATCCAAGAAGGTTACAATTTGGTCAGATTCACAATTGCCTTGCACTGGAGTACAATGCACACAACCCACATTAAGTGTTTCGTAGCCAACTGGGTGTCAACTATTCAATTATAGTCCGCGAACATTAAATGGCAACATGTTTCGGGTCAGGAGAATCCAGCGGATACCGTTTCGCGAGGATGATCCGCAGCCGATTAACAAAAAACTATCTTGTTCAACAGGCCAACATTTCTTCGCTCTAATGATTATATCTACTATGTAGTGATAGTAGCATCGAGAGAACCATAATTAAAAAGCTCATCAGCAGAATCTCTTCATATACTCGAACTCTCCGGATCGTAGTTTTCATATATCGAGTTTTCAACGGCGTTTCTGCCAGCAAAGATCTTTTTGCCTTACGGCCAAACGAGTTAGATTAAATTCACTACATAAAGCCAAAATTTTGCAACGGATTTAATTGACTTACAAAAGGAAAAACGTCTTAGTCCACATATTAGAAAATAATGACTCGTTTGTAACTGAAGCTGATATTGAACATCGGTCTGTACAAGTAATCCGAGTCGACGGCCGTATAGCAAACGCCCCGATCCCTGTCGATGCGAGATTCCCATTGCTTCTTCCTAGCGATTACTTGTTCACCTACAAGAACGTTGAACATCTTCACAAAGCCAATATGCATGCAGGCCCCAAAGTGCAAATTGGATTTCTTAATCTTCAAAAATGGATCGCAAATGCTCCTCGCATCACCGCCAAGGTAGTCAAAAATTCTGTTCATTGTTGCCATTACATGCCCAGGCTAATGCAACAAACTATGGGATGCCTACCAGCGGAAAGGCTAACGCTAACCAAGATGTTTGCCATCTTTGGAAAGGAAAGAAAAATAAAAAAAAAACAGACAAAGCGAGGAAGTGAGTAAAGATGCGGAACGTGACGCTATGCAGATAAAGCCTTCTAGCAACGTCCGCCTGCAGCTGCGCACTTGCATTAGGCTCCCAGTGGTCGATTCAGGGACTCACCTGTCTCTGCACACTCTCCGGAACTGAGTTCCTCCATGGGATCCCAGTGGCGACGCGGGAAACTCTCTTGAGTGCTTTTCACATGGCTGGTAAATCTTGTTTTTGTTCTGCTCTCTAGCTTTTTACTTAGCGTGTCGCGCTCGACCAATACCAGCGGATAGAGGTCGCTTTGGTGCGCTTGTAGTAGTACCATTCCATTGCCTACATCTGTGCGCTGATGCCAAACGTCATTAGCTACATGATACAGGTTGCACTTATCGATCGGCACTCGCGGCTACTCGAACTTCTTGGTACAGAACCCGGAAACTGGCGAGTGTTAGCTATTATGCAGGACAGAGGACTTTTCACTGTTAAAGGTCAAAGAGCCAACCCCTACGCTAACGAGGAACACCATAAAACGAATTCCTTCAGCCAAGCTGGGGACTTTCTCCCAGAGCTTCAAAAATGGCCAACTGAGTGCACGAAGTGCAACGGCCCACTCCGCAGTAGCAAGAGCGAGGAGTAGCAAACACCATTATGCTTCGAAGAGAATGCCGCCGCTCAAACGGATTCCTGGCGAAACGCTGCAAAAGGTCCCATGACCAATAGCGCTGTACAAACTGACCCGTGGCGAAGGCTCAGCCAAGGAGATGCGGCTATTATCGCGGAAGTACACCCGACTCCACCAGTGCAACCTACTACGCTAGTAGCGACCCGAGAACCGAACGGAGGATGAGGAAAATTCCACCAAGGAAACAGGTTAAAAACAGAGGCTCCACAGTAAGGTCTGGCGAGGTAGGGAGCGCTGGAAGAGACAAAATCACTGCCTGGAGAAAGGCGGGTCTAAAAAAGCGGGCTCGTAAGTCTCACCGACCGGGTGGGAAGACCATTAGCGAGGTCCTAGCCATGGACCCCCGTGGGGACGAGGGCCAGCTTGACAGCCTTCGCACCCGAGTCAATAAGGTTCGGCGTACCGCAAACAGAAACCTCCTTCTTGAGCTCAACAGAAGCGAAGAAATCGACACTGAGGTAATAAAGGAGAGCCACAAGGCGGTCCTTGGATAAGCGGTGGCAGTGCGCGCGCTACCGTATAGAAGAGGCCATGAACCGGTAGACAGGTGAAACTCTGAAATAGCGACCCTCAGGAAATTATGCCTTAGAGCTAGAAGAGCTCTTCAACGGTCGAGAAGGACGGATAGGGCCGAGAAACTCATTTTGAAACGGCTCATAATCGAATCGGTTGACCTGGTCTCCCCACTTAGTTTGGATTCGAAAAGGAAAGTCCACACTAGGCGCGATCCCAACGGTCACCGGGATAGCAGTGGAAGCCATAATCAGGAAGCGATGGAAAGGCGGAACGAAGAAATACTGTCTACTGGTCACGCTCGACATTAAGAACTGGCGAACTGGAATAGGATCATGTAGGCCCTCAGGCGGCAACAGATCCCGGAGGAGTTAAAAAAGATCGTCGACAGCTACCTTAACGAAAGTACCCTGCTGTACGAAACGAGCGACGGCCCCAAAGAGTACACAGTTACTGCCGCAAGGATCGGCTCTGGGTCGCCTGTTGTGGATCAGAGTGACGGAGTGCTGAGACTTCCCAAGCCTGCCATCACGATCGTGGCTAAGACGATAGCCCAAGTGGATGAATTAGCCAACACAGCAGTGAGGAAGGTGGAGTAATGGCTGGCACTTGCTGGTCTACAGCTTGCTGGCCACAAGACGGAGGCTGTCCTCGTATCCCAGAGTGAGGTATTTTACAGCTCTCTGGGATACTTCACTGCCCCGCCGACCATCAGGCGTGATGATTGACACCAGGCTGTCATTCAGAGAGCACCTAGCGCACGCCAATAAGAAGGCGGCAGCGACTGCCATATCCGAAGCAGTATCGGAGGATCGCAGGATCGCCTCGGTGTGGGTTAAAGCCGCCATGACGCCCTTGCACAAGTAATCACAGAAATATTTCTAAATTTTTTCCGAGAAATATTGCAACATTTTCGATGGCAGCATTGCAACATTTCAATACAACGGTCACGAACCCGCAAGTTCAATAACATAAACCCACACAACAGCCACAGCGCAATACCAAAATGCTGATTCTACAAACCTTGCAGTTACAGCCGCTTCATCAGAGCTAGGCCACCGCCGCGGTCTCTTCCGCGACGTCAACGTCTCTTCCCCAACCCACAGCTTAGATCAGGGTATTTTTAAATGAATAAAACCAGTCTCAAATTGAACTTCAAAGAAATCAAACGTACAAAATTTATTTTTGGGTTTTAATTATCCTGGAAATTAACTTACATAAGTGGCTTGGTACGCACGCACAGGTTATGCACCATCAGGGTATCCTGTGCTTTCCGGACGATCTCCGAGGAGGCGGCTCTGGTCATCGCAGGCCTCGTTAGTGAGGGAGGCAGTGAGGGAGGTTGCAGAAGTGGAGGAAAGGGTCTCCAGCATAGACCAAATATCCAGGCGCGTGGCGCGACAGCCCGCAAGAAAGAGGTCGATAACCAGGTGGCAGGAGAGATGGGATTCCGCGACATCTGGGCGCTGGACTCATGCTCTTATACCAGTCTTGATTCCATGGCTGGAAAGGAAGCATGGCCAGGTGGTACCTGACCCAGATCCTGAGTGGACACGGATGCTTGGTACGTATCTGAAGAAGTACGGACACAACACGCGAGATGGAAGCCCAACCTGCGACTCTGCAGTTTACTGAGGACAGGACCACGCTGCAAACAGCGACCGGTGACAGCACTAGTCCCAGCACGCTAGTGCCCACCTCTAATGCGGAAACTCCGGAAAGCAGTAAGAGAGCGGAGAGGACTGGACACATGAGCTTTCGCAGTTGTGCGAAGCATTGCCTCGCGGCCATTGCCCAACCATTGTAGGAGAAAGCATTTTCCCGTAATTTTGGTTAATTAAACTAAGAAATTTCCTTTTCTGTTGTATGAATTTATTTTCTATTCAATGAAATCTAAAAATAGTTTGCCCAACATTTTTTTCCAGCATACTTATATATTAAAGTAATTATTTAAATAATAAAACATTCGGAATAATTTATTTTTTAGATTTGTGACTTTGGGTTGGCTCGAATCGCAGATCCCGAACACGACCATACTGGATTTCTAACAGAATACGTTGCTACTCGGTGGTACAGGGCACCCGAAATTATGCTGAACTCAAAGGGATATACAAAATCTATTGATATCTGGTCCGTGGGTTGTATTTTGGCAGAAATGCTAAGTAATCGACCAATATTTCCTGGAAAACATTATCTAGATCAACTTAACCATATTCTCGGCGTATTGGGGTCACCATCTCGTCAAGACCTAGAGTGTATTATAAACGATAAGGTAAGTAAAAAACAAATTTATTTTATTAAAATTTGTTCATTATTCTTTGAATTTTAGGCACGGAACTATTTGGAGTCTTTACCCTTCAAGCCAAATGTACCCTGGTCGAGACTTTTTCCCAATGCTGATGCGTTGGCCTTAGATCTTCTTGGAAAAATGTTAACATTTAACCCACACAAACGGGTTCCTGTCGAGGAAGCTCTTGCACATCCCTATTTGGAGCAGTATTATGATCCTGGAGACGAGGTATTAAGCATAAAAAAAGAAGAGTTAAAAAAAAACATTTTTAGGACACTTTAAAAACATAAAAGCCTTTAAAATCGCTTGTGCATTTTGTATGCTGCGTTAAAAGATTCTCTTTAAAAAGCTTAACGGTTTTATCTAAATCACGTGCTCGTGTATATTTTTAGACTGGATGTTTGGATGAAAACTAATTCATAAGAGCAATAGTTGTGTCATAGAAGGTGTTGTATTAAACCAATAGACAAAGTATTGTAGCCATGTGTCCCACCAATATGTTTTATTAACGGATATATAGGATCGAATGTATTCGTAAAGCGTTCGGTGACTACGTTCTATCACTAACCATACAACATATAGACTGGTCATTTCATACGACGCATTTGGACACAAAAAAACGGACCGCGGAAGGTCCACCGTTCTCACAGCAGCAGGTCCATGCACTTCGTGTGTGTTCGGGTTTTTTACTCTCTCAATCTTATTCTCATTTTTATGCTCGCGCACTCATTGCACGAGTTCAGTCGTTCAGTCGCAGAGAGGCGCTTTTTGAAGAAGGCTGCCCTGCGCTTGAATTCGTCTTTGTATGTATGCGTGATCATGCATTCTCATACACGGGAGCATGTGTGCGTTTATTTCATTTCGGCGCATCAAGAATATTTTGTCTTTTGCCACTTTTCAAACTTGGTACCCTAAGAATATGGGCGTATTTACTATTGGGTTATGATATAAATATTAATATTATATGTTATAATATATTTTTTTAATATTTCAGCATACATTCGGTGTTTCAAGTGACACGACTGCGCTATGCCCGTTCCCATTTCAGTAGACTGATTTCTATTAATTCGAATACATACATACATATATGTAAAACATTTTACTGCTACCACTGATTTGAATTTGTAAACAAAAATAAAATGTATGCTGAAATATTAAAAAAATATATTATAACATATAATATTAATATTTATATCATAACCCAATAGTAAATACGCCCATATTCTTAGGGTACCAAGTTTGAAAAGTGGCAAAAGACAAAATATTCTTGATGCGCCGAAATGAAATAAACGCACACATGCTCCCGTGTATGAGAATGAATGATCACGCATACATACAAAGACGAATTCAAGCGCAGTGCAGCCTTCTTCAAAAAGCGCCTCTCTGCGACTGAACGACTGAACTCGTGCAATGAGTGCGCGAGCATAAAAATGAGAATAAGATTGAGAGAGTAAAAAACCCGAACGCACACGAAGTGCATGGACCTGCTGCTGTGAGAACGGTGGACCTTCCGCGGTCCGTTTTTTTGTGTCCAAATGCGTCGTATGAAATGACCAGTCTATGTATATGTTGTATGGTTAGTGGTTCTATTGTTCCTAATGTGTGGTGAAGGTGCCTTGTAGATGTTGTGTTTTATTTACATACATCTTCAATAATTGAATTTTTATATTCCGTTCCCTTGTCCGATATAAACTTCTTCATTGGACCGTACTTTAGAGCACAATTTAAAAAAAATAATTTGGCTACTGATTTTGCGCTTTTATTTTGTTAAGTCGCATATCAAAGTTACTGCGTACTCATTGCTTTGATCCGATTTTGGTAATGGACGTATCGTATCAACAATTACTCTGCCAAAGTTGGAGTCTCTGTTAAAGCTATTGGAGTTTTTGTAGTTTAGTTATTCTAATTTTCTGGAATGTTTGGCTGATTTTTTATATACTGGCTTCTTTTTTCAAGCCTTTGGAAAAATGGACCTAAATTGAATGTACCATTGGTATAAAGATCGCTAACATTAATTTAACTTTTTTACCATGTTTATAAGGCATTTGAATTAATTAAATGCAAGGTCACTACTTTTCTTTACTTCGTCGTTGTTAAGGTCGTCTTATGTTTTGGGCATAGAAGCTTTTCAACACATTGCCTAGGCAGCTGTGTATTGCTTATAATTTTTGATCCATTGTGCTTTTATTGGATTCTCCTTTAGTAAATGATTTCGATGCATAAGATACAGGAAGTTGTATGCCATTATGTTCTTGTGTAAGGACGGCACCATCGATTCTTGGCAGTGGAAATTTATCTGCTAAAAGTTTTTTATAAATTTGACGGTAATCACTTATTAACCTCCATCTTTTCTCCTTTGAGTCAGGTAATGATTTTTTTTCTAACAAGTAACAGAGGGCTATTATATTGTGATAATGAGTGCTCTACGATTTTATCCTTTATAAGTTTGTCCACTTCCTTAGTTAGTTCCTCTTTATGACTTTGTGGGCGTTTATAATTTTTTTTATACATAATCATAATCATAATCTTTTACTTTAATTTTTGCTTGTAGAAATTATTATTAGATATCGATTCGGTTTTAATATGTCACAATAGTTTAAACATAGATTTGATTTGGAAAATGTTGTTTTAGTTTATTTAAGATTTTGTCGTTTCTATTTGTGTCATAAAGGTAGACAATATTATAGTTGTCAATAGATTCGTTTTTAATATTTTGAAGGTTTACTATTTTGTTTTCATCTGTATTGTTTAATATTCAGACAAATGTGGTTTGGGGATCTGAAATTGTATTTCCTATGAATCTTGATTTGGTATTAGAAGGGTTTTATTATTTTCTGTTAAATTTTTTTTCTAATTATTGGTATAATTATTTCGTTAGCTTCTATGTTGTGTGTGAAAAATTGGATTTTTTATGGGAAATTTTAAACTGAGAAGATCATTATCTTGATTAAAATCAAATAGACAATTGAATTTCTTTGTGAAGTCTATTCCAATTATTCCGTCTACTGGTATTGAAAAGATATGAGGAACTATATGAAAATTATGTGATATAATAATGCCTACTCCCGATATTTGTATAGTGATAATGAAGACCGTATCGAAATTTTCGGAATTTTATTTAATGAGGGAAATATCCGCTCCGGTGTATATTAAAAAGGTGACTGATTTTTATGTAAGTTCATGTTTTACTTTTACATAAATATATAAATTAAGAGTAATAGCGTGAATTCTGTTGTTTTTTTTAGTTCTTATGGGAGTTTACTCGTTTTCCGAGTTAGTTTGAGCCATTGTAACGGTATTAGATCTAGTGTTTTGGTTGGGATAAGTTGTGTTATTTCCTTGTTGGCCTCTATTACCGCGGTTTTGACCCCTATAATTTCCTCGGCGTCGGATATTGTTACTATTATCAAAATTATTGTAGTTGTTATAATAAAATAAATATGTTAAAATAAATAAAAAAATAAATTAAAATACATTGTTTGCGTTTTCTGTGATTTCCGTGCTGCAATGAATACATTTTGTAACGGCTTCAATCATTGTGTTGAACGTAACGGCCCCAAGATTGGTTTTTAGTTTAACCTTTTCATTTAGAAATGGCTTTTGTGCTGAACATGTCTGCATGTTCGACTTCCAATAATTTCCGTAGATTACCTTCTTTAGTTGTAAATTGCGTTGCAGTCTTTCCTTTTTGATGTATATTTAATAATTTCGCTTTTACAATATAAGAAGATTCTCTGTTTATAGTGACCTGAAGTTTACTTATAATATTATTAATAATTGTTTCGTTCTGTACTTTGTAAAATGTTGATCCAACTATTTTGGATTTGATTACTTAAACTGCAATGTTTTCGAACGGTCCCTTCGTAATGCTGACCAATCTCAATGCTGTTAAAAATCGTTGCAAGTGGGTTTTTTTTACGTCGAACTCTGGATGGGCCGAGGTGATTTCTTTTATGTATGCTCTATTGGCAATTGAGTCGTCCGTCATGTAGATGATATTATTTTCCAAATTTGGGTATGATAAATTTTCCTCGGAGTCCGAGTTTTCCTGATTTGACAGTTCGGTGGTCAGCGTTAACATCGATGAAACTGTCAAATTGTGTAAGTCCTCGGTTTTTGGGAATTCTGTTTTAGTGTTTTTTTCAATTTAGTCCTCTGTATCAGAGTCTTTATCTTCTGTATTTTCGGATTTCAACTCCTTCTAAAATGTTAAAGGTGTGTTAAGGATAGAAGAAGTTGAAATGTCTAACTCATATTTTTCATTTATATTCTTAAGATTGTTTTTATATTTAGATAGTAGCTTTAAGATATCAGTCCAGTGTTTACTGGTAATTTATCTCTATGTTCGGAAATTATAAGGCGTGTTCTATTAACGCTTTCTACTGGAACATTCCCGTGTTTTTGTATGGTTGTTCCCGTAACATTTCTGTTTTACGAAAGACATGTGTGCGATTTGTCAAAATTGTTTCTTATTTCTTTTAATTTATTACAAATATTTTTCCAATCCATTAAGATTTATTTTAGAATAACACTAAAGATAATTATATAGCTTTTTGCGTATTATTGCAATGTGTTATTGGGGAATTAGTTTAATTATGTATTTATGTATATATGTATATATGTATATATGTATATATGTATATATGTATATATGTATATATGTATATATGTATATATGTATATATGTATATATGTATATATGTATATATGTATATATGTATATATGTATATATGTATATATGTATATATGTATATATGTATATATGTATATATGTATATATGTATATATGTATATATGTATATATGTATATATGTATATATGTATATATGTATATATGTATATATGTATATATGTATATATGTATATATGTATATATGTATATATGTATATATGTATATATGTATATATGTATATATGTATATATGTATATATGTATATATGTATATATGTATATATGTATATATGTATATATGTATATATGTATATATGTATATATGTATATATGTATATATGTATATATGTATATATGTATATATGTATATATGTATATATGTATATATGTATATATGTATATATGTATATATGTATATATGTATATATGTATATATGTATATATGTATATATGTATATATGTATATATGTATATATGTATATATGTATATATGTATATATGTATATATGTATATATGTATATATGTATATATGTATATATGTATATATGTATATA